ACTCCAGGACAGAGCAGAAAGCTGTCCCGTGCTGTGCTGCAGGACTTCCCCAGACTCAGTATTTCTTGCTGTTGGTGCAGTTTGGCCCCACCAGAGACTCAGGACAAGGTTCTGAGGGAGCAGGCTGAGCTGCTCTCAGCCGGCAGCCCTGTGACCAGCATCCACAGGGATGGAGGGTGCCAGCTGCCTTCTCCCCCTAAAATTGCCCCTTTTGACAAATGTCCAAGCTCCAGGCTGCAATCTGCCAACCAGGGACTCACTGAGTTTTCCCAGGGGTGGAATAACTCAGGAGAAGGTGGTCCCTGGAAGGGCTGGGTGACGTTGCCCTCCTGCCACGTGCACCTGGGGCCACAGCACTTCTGAAACCACCTTCTGTGAGAAGGCAGGAAGTCATCTCCCTGCAGGGACGGCGTCTTCACAGAGCCCAACCACAACACAAGGCAGCTCTTCTCAAGGACGTGGCTGGGGAGAATGGGGCTCAGGGCAAGGACCAACCTCTGCCAGCCGAGGCACCTCCTCAAGCCTCCCGAGCTACGTCAGCAGATGGATGAACATCAGGAAGGGCAAAGGGTGTTCACCACCCAGTGGAGACAGCAGCCACCAGGAACGGTCCTGTCTGGTTCCATGTTTTTTCCAGGATGGGAAGAGGCCAAGCTACTGGTATCTGAACTTCTCAGAAAGGGCACCACATCCCAGTTTTGTCGTGCAAGGATATTAAGGACACAGAGAGAGCTGTCCCATTGCACCCACCAGAATGGCCCCTATCAAAGCTTAGAAGCACAAAGGAGTTCCTGGTAAGCTGCATTCCAAGCTAATTCCTGAAAATACTGGATCCCACAAGCTGGGACATTCTGAGCATCAGAATATCTACCTCAGGAGTGGGGCAGAGGAAGACATCCATGTGCACAAGTGTTCCCTGCCTCTGTGAAAGCCCAGGCACATCAGGATGTCCAGAGCAACCCACAGAGAAACCCATCCCCTGTGTCCGGCTGTAGACTCTGCTTTGTAACGTAAGAGGATTTAGTCCCTCTAACCTGGCAGAGCTCTCAACCCCTGGAAGCCAACCCAGCCTTTGGCAGGCTGCAGCAGTCACACAGAGCTGGTCTCAGCCCTCTCCATCCTGACGCTGTTCTCCAGCGTGCTCCCAGGACAGCAGCCCAGGCGCCAGGGATGGCAGCCAGGCCAAGCAACTGGCAGAGGCAGTGATGTTCCTTGGATCCACACCAGCTCTGGCTTTTCACTCACAGCCCAGGACACAGCTTTTCCAGCACTGATAAGAGCTCTGGGGTTGAGCCAGAAGTGTTCTGTCCACATTCGGGCTTTGGGTGCTGCCCTGGATGTTTCCTCAGGAGCAGGCTGGGATGTTGCTCTACATCTCTCCAGAACAGCTCCAGAAGCCTTGCAAGAGGCACACAAGCAGAGATCCCTGCCCAAGGCAGGAGCCACAGCTCAAATCAAATAAAACCCAGTCTGTGTAACAGGGCTATTGACTGAGCAAGCACAGAGAAACCAGGTCAACTGAGCAGATCACAAGGTAACATGCCAGGCTGGGGAAGAAAGGAGAATGACCACAGGGTGACAGCTCCCATCCTCAATAAACCCTTGCTGAGGTCTCTGAGGAAAGTTCAAAAAGCAGTCCACAATCAAAAAGTTACTTAGGGATCATTCCTCAGATGTTATTTCCTCAGATAAGCACAGGAGAAGCCGCTGGTCTCACCTCCCCAGGCCTGCTGCGGCCATGGGCTGTGCCAGGGAATTCAACACACCACCAGCAGATCAAAGACTACTTGGGACCAACCACCTGTAGTCTCTGGACAAATACACCTCTTGGCTCTCTTCCTCTCAGCCCACCATCACGCTGTTCACACACAGCCATCTCCTCTCAACTCCAGGAGAGCTGCAGCCCCCCCTGCCTTGGGGTCACCCAGACCTGGGTATGACAACACGATCTGCTGCACATGGAGCACTCACACAGACCAAGGGAGGTCTCCAACCTGCCCAGAACTCCAGAGTTCCACCTCCAAGCAGCTTTTCCCAGCAAACTGAAGGACTACCTTTCAGGAACAGAGATAACTGCTCACCGAGCATCTCGTGAAAACTAATCTAGCAACTCTCGTGCTGGTCACAGTTTTCTAAGTAATGTCATTTGCAGCGACTCCTGTACCAACAGTACCAGGTATTATCCTAAACCTGCAGTGTGCAGCTTCCTGACTGCCTACAGCTGGCTCCCTAAGCTGCTGTCACAGACAACTAAAAAAAATACACCACAGACACTCCACCCAAGTGCCAGTCCAGTTTTCCAGAATGCAATGGAAATGACATTCCTCTTAACTAAACCATCAGCATTTAAACTCACAGCCAAAACAAACAGAAGCAACATCTACTCCCGAGTTACTCCGAGCTCAGTTGTAAACACCGACGTTCACACTTCACATACTCTCTCCACTACACACAGGGAATCACCCCCCAATTTAAGGGCATGGACAGGTACCTTGTGTTCAGCACGGAGCAGAGGGAACACCTGCAGCCAGAGAGGAGCCAGTCCCTGCAGCATCCTTCTGGGAAGAGCGGCTTTTCCATCTGGAGCTGGCTGCCAGGTCACACCGTTGATGCACACAAAGAAAGCAGCCAGGGAGCACACGTGTTAATCCATTATTATTTATTAGCTGTACAGCAGTATATTCTCCTTCCCAGCTTTCAAACCCCATTACATATTTTATAACAGTATTTTTTTTTCCCCATGTTGGCTTCCTAAAATAATGAAAAATATCACACAGTACAGCTAAGTACAAAAATGCATCAACCTAGAGTCTGATAGCTAAACTGATAGCTCTCTTAAAAGCGATACATAGAAGAAAAATTTGTTTGAAATCAGCAAGACTGAGGCTCTATAAAAAGCTTACATATTTTAACATGTGACATTTTCATATACAGGCATCATTTGTATTTCACATTATTCCTTTTTTTGTCTTTATCAGAGATTCAAAAATTGTAGAATTACTGACCTATTAATAAAATTTCCTGGCCCAGGTTTTGAGGGCTGCAGTGACCCACTTATAAATCACCACTTCTGTCTTAACATAGGATTCATAAACACAAAATACAACTACAAGATAGAGCAAAGAAAATGTAGTCGTGAAATTATAACTCAAAAAGAAGGTTAATTATAAATGTTTCAAATTGGTTGGATGGTCACATCCAGAGGGCAGTGGTCAACGGCTCAGAGTCCTGATGGACATCAGTGACAAGTGGTGTCCCTCAGGGGTCCATACTGGGACCAGTGTTATTTAGTATCTCCATTAATTACATAGATGAAGGGATCGAGTGCACCCTCAGCAAGTCTGCAGGTGACACCAAGCTGAGTGCTGCTGTTGACACTCCTGAAGGATGGGATGCCATCCAGAGGGACCTGGACAAGCCTGAGAAGTGGGCACACGGGAATCTCATGAGGCTTAACGAGACCAAGTGCCAGGTGCTGCATCTGGGTCAGGTCAACCCCCCATATCAATGCAGGCTGGGGGGTGACAGATCGAGAGCAGCCCTGCTGGGAAGGACCTGGGGTTGCTGCTGGGTGAGAGGCTGGACACAGCCCAGCCACGTGCACTCACAGCCCAAAAAGCCAACCGTGTCCTGGGCTGGACCAAAGGCAGCGTGGGCAGCGGGGAAAGGGAGGGGATTCTGCCCCTCTGCTCTGCTGAGACCCCGCCTGCAGCGCTGTGTGCAGCTCTGGGACCCCAGCACAGGAGGGACACGGACCTGTTGGAGCGAGTCCAGGGGAGGCCACAAACATGATTAGAGGGCTGGAGCACCTTTCCTATGAGGGAAGGCTGAGAGAGTTGGGGTTGTTCAGCCTGGAGAAGGGGAGGCTTTGGGCTGACCTAATTTGTGGCCTTCCAGAACCTGCAGGGAGCCCACAAGAGAGCTGGAGAGCATGGGTGACAGGACAAGGGGGAATAGCTTCAAACTGCCAGAGGGAAGGGTTAGACTTGATATTAGGAAAGAATTCCTCCCTGTGAGGGTGGTGAGGCACTGCCACAGGCTGCCCAGAGAAGCTGTGGCTGCCCCATCCCTGGAAGCATTCAAGGCCAGGTTGGACAGGGCTTGGAGGAACTGGGGATAGTGGAAGGTGTCCCTGCCCAGGGCATGGGGGGTAGAACTAGATGGACTTTAACATCCCTTCTAACCCAAGCCAGTCTATGATTCTAGGAAATACCAGGTTTTTGTGCTTCAAAACCAGATTTCATGTGTGGGTCTCTCTTGTTCTGCAAGCAATAATCTGGATACATCTCTTCTCTACGTTATCAACAGTTTTTCCAACATTTACACTCTATCAATTCTCTTGTCACTTAGTTTGAAAGGAATTAAAATACTGGGGTTTCTTTAAACTGCATTTTTGCATACCTCTTAATTAATGGAAAAAGATTAAAATGTAAAAAAAAAAAAAAAAGTTATTTACAAGCTTGACCATTACAGAAATGCTTTGCAGAAAGCAAAGCATATTAAGGACAGAAACCAGTTGGAGCATGCCAAAACTACCGTGTGCAGCTGACTTGGAGAACCAGAGCTAGTCAGTGGGAAAAAGCAAAAAACAAAAAACCAAAAAAAAAAAAAAAAAAAAAAAAAAAAAAAAAACAACCCAAAAAACATTTCAAAAGTCTAGAACCCTCCCAAGTCTGCATTTACAGTTAAAAACACTACTGAGAGAAGAGGCTCAAGGACTCTGGGAACTGGAAGGGCAAGTCCGGAGTGGTTTTCCACATACTCTAGTCAAGGCTTCCGCTTTTGTATACTAAAACTTGGTGCATGTAAACACGGCCCTTGGACCAGCTTTACAATGCAAGTTCAGAGCAAAACTAAAATCAAGCATCTCACAGGAAACCCTCAAGGACTCCAAAATATTTCCTAATGTTCCATGATCCTGTAATGCTAACATAAAACAGCAAGTTCTAGTTAAATCACATTCTAACATCGTTTTTTTTTTTTTCCCAGTATGTTTGGTAAAATGGTCTAAAATGATGCATTTCCCAAAGCCAAGAAAAAAGATAAAAGGAAAAATAGATTTGAGCCGCTTAAACACAGCCCAGGCCAGTTCAGTCAGCCAGCGTGGTCTTCCTCCATCACCGGTCCATCATGCTGAGAATCATCTCAGGGGTGAGGTCTCCATTGGGAGCTTCCACTACAGGAGGCTGAGCTTCCTCCTCTTCCTCTGCTGTTTCTGCATCAGGTTCTTTCTTCACTTCAACTATAATATTTTCAATTTCACCAGTGTGCTGGTCTTCAACCTGAATGATTGCTGCAGCTATAAGGGCAGAAAAGGGGGGGGGGGAAGGGGGTAAACCAGATTATTTTACTAGTTCCAGAGCTGGCCTCAAACAGCTTTTTGGTAGACTTGGTCACTTCCATGGAAAGGGAACACACATTCCCACATTAGTGGGGAGCAATTCAACCCACCTCACTCACCCAAGCCTCTATTTCCCTGCCTCTGTATGAAGATGTGCTCCCAGTACCACAGTTCCAGTGTGCATTTTGATATTAAGACATTATTAAAACAATGGATTTTGCAGAGTAATCAACAAAAACCCCTCCGGATCAACGTATGGGCCTAAGGCAAATCTTTCAATTCTAGTGATACTAATGACAAATTCAGCATGAATTATTTCCACAGACTAATTCTAGAAAGGACACCCTCACAGCACTGAGCAGACAGCCAAGCCACTGAGGAAGCCATCACCTCCTTAAAGGAATAAATTTACCTTCCTGCTTTGTTCCTTTAATTTATTTACTTTGACTTTGCACAGTTATGATGTCTATTATCACAGAGAAAACTCTGTAGAGTTGAAACAACCCCTGCACTGGCCCTGTGCTCAGAACTAAAGGCCCAAAGCAACTTCATTTGTGGCAATACCTGCAAAAGCCTACACAGATAGGAACACCAAAGTGACTGTACTGACAGCTGCTTAACCAGGAATTGCACATCAGCAGAGACACCACAACTGGTTCCAGAAGCAGTGAACAGTTTGTAGGTCTATGAAATGAAATAATACTGAAGAAAAAATAATGTTCTTTCTTTTTGGCATGGTCTCAAAGTGGCCAGGTTCCCTCATGACCGGGAAACACTTGCAACAAATTTCAAGGTTTTTGGCAATACAGAGACAAGCACAGTTATCAACTTTTTAAATGAGCTCAACTGAAGGGATTAGACCTCCTACAAGAACTGCCAAATCCAAAGGAAAAGGTGCTCAAGCCAGCAGTGTAAGGTAGGCTGCAATTAGTGACTTACGCTGGGATTGTTTTGGTTGGGTGGCAGCTTTGCCTGGTGGTCTTCCTCTTCGTTTCTTACTGGGAGGTGGTGCAGGAGCCTCTTGCTCAACTTCTGGTTCAGCCTCAATTTCTACTGCGGTCTCCTCCTCATCTTCATTATCATCCAAATCTGGTTCAGCATTTTCCTCTGTAAGAAATGATCTCAGTTCAGTTTAAACAAGAATGAAACACATCTATCTACAGCAAAGCACCATCAAATCCTCATCCAAAAGGAGACAACTCTGACAAGAAAGAAGGGAAACAAGGCCTTTGTTGAGAGGCTGGTGGCACAGACTGTTAACCTGTTACTCCCACCTTAGAGGGAACAAACTGTCCTTCAGAAAGCAAAAGGAAACATAATTATGTTAGATTATGTGATAAAAGCTACTCTGCACATCCACAAAGGAGCTCAGTCAGACAACAGTAGGAGGGGAACCAAATACACTGCTGGGCTACTCCCAGGCCCATCAGAGGAGCCACCAGTCCCTCCAAGTCCCACCTGCACCACCCACAGGGGCACAGGGTTGCAAAATGGAAGGTGGGAACCCAAATCCACGACTTCTGATGAACAAACATCTTGTCCAGGCCACTGCCAGGAGAGCCACCAGCCCCAGTGTCCAGGTGTGAAACCCACCCCGATGAGTCTCTACCAGGAGAGAGGACTATGAGTTTTTCCTTCACAAACAGCATATCTCCAACCAGCATCTCCCTTGGATGCTGCCAGCCTTCCCCCACAGAAGTTGCGGAGCTAATCAGTGGTGCAGTTGTCTGGATATATCACAAGCAAGATCAAGTACCATTTCACAGCACTGTGCCACAGAACCACACAGTTTCTTTCAGGCTTCTTAAAAAATTACCAATTTGCCACACAGGCAGGACAGAATGGCACAGCTGACACAAGGGGTGTCAAACTGCTTTTTAAACCATAGTGCTCTGGAGCAGGCCTGGGACAGCAGGATCCATATTATCCCTCACAGGCAGTATATCCCCCTGTACTTGGCCACGTACTATCACTTTTTGTTTGCCAACCAGACAAGACTCTTTCAAGTGCCAGAACAAACCTGAAGAACTGGCAAACCAACAGCTAACACATGCAGTGAATCATAGGCCTGTAATTCTCAGAAGGCACTGAGCTGTTCTTACCACTATCAGAGGAATCTTCTTTCTTAGATCGCATCTTTCTCTTTCGGCCACGTTTGCCCTTCTTTGTCTCTCCTCCATTCTCTCCTTCCCCACCATCTAGGCCAGAGCAGTTATCAGCATGTCTGGCCATTGTGTTCTACTCAGTGGAAGATTAAAAACACAACAAAAATTAAAACACGCGTAGAATTCAAGATCAGACGTTCTGGGTCTGTATTTTTAAACGCATTTCTGGTAACTTAAGTCTTTTTTTTTCTTAAGCAAGATTGTTTAGGGGAAATAGGTACATTAACTTTATTAATGAAGTTGCACTTCCACACTGCTCATGATGTCAATGCTAATGTGTTGGTATTAATCCTGAATTACACCAGGTCTCTCCCCTCTCTTTTCCTCTCAGACAGAAGGGCTCTATTTAAAAGACCAGGATTGCACCTTGTACCTCACCCAGCCTTTCTGCTGGGTAAACACCCCCCTCCCCTTGGCTAAAAACCTCATTCCACCCCAACGTCCCCCAGTTCAAAGCAGTGCAATTCCCTCACCCTGCGAGTGAACGTTTTGCCGCACTTGGAACAGACAAAGGCAGCAGGAACGAAGGTGGGATCGTGGTATCGTTTGAAGTGCATGTCGAGGAGCTGCTTCTGGCGGAAGGTTTTGTCACAATGGCTACAGGCATAAGGCTTTTCTCCAGTGTGGGTCCGTTTGTGCATGACCATGTGTCGCTCCTGGCACCGACAGGCAAGACAGGGAAAAATAACTTGAGAACTCAGGCAAATGGAATCAGAAGAGCGAATTTTCAGCTACGAGGAAGCCAAAACTTTACGCTTAATATCAAGAAAAGGATGATTCTGCAGGGACGTGAGAACATCTGGACTGATGGCATATTCAGTCCTAGCTACTTCCATCCTATATGGACTCTTATCCCTTGGTCAACAGGTACATCAAGGTTGTGAAACAGAAGGTTTTCTACAGGGCAGCATCACACCAAGAAAAGGTCACTCGTACTTTCCTTCACACCCTTCAAAAGACTTAAGACAACTAACTTGATCTTGACAACTGGTCAAAAACTTAACAGCTAAGATTTCCACCTCGTATTTTTAGCTCCTGTCCTAACTGGCTCACGGGGGGTGCCAGTCCCACCAGCTCACCTGTCTGCAAGCATAATCACACTGGTCACACTTGAAGCGCTTCTCGTTCTTGTGGGACTTCTGGTGCTGGATGAGGGCATACCGCTCGTGGAACACGGCGTCGCAGTAGCGACACTTCTTGCCCTGCTCGATGTAGGAATGCTGCTTCCGCAAGTGGACACCTAGGAGCAAAAATATCAGAGAGGCTTTCAGCACCACGGCTCTCCCCAAGCAGGAAAAGCCAAGCCTAACAGCGCTTTGGTGATCTTCACTCCTGAGCTCAGCCAAAAAAAAAAATCAGTGAAATGGTTAATTTAGGATTCAACTGAAAACCTAAAAGACTCGTAAGTTAAACCAACTAGAACAATTTCTAGATGGAAATAGCTTGCAGAAAAACCCCGCTGAGTTTTTCCACAGGACTCCAGATTTGGTTATTAGTTGCAATCTGTGCCAATTCAGGACACTCACGTTTGATAACATATGATTGGCAAAATGAAGTGTCTTGTGGACTGTTATGTTTAAGATTAACCCAAATTGCCTGGATAGAGACAGAAGCCAGGTAATTCACTGGGGGAAAACAGGATTTTCTGCAGGATTAGAAGTGAGTGTGACGGAGCTAAAAGGCAACAGGGATACCAGCAGATAATCCTGACAGAGGTTTTAGTCACTTCTTTAAAATCCTCCAACTAAGAGCATACCACAGCTGCACGAGGTAGCTTAGGGTAGATTAAAGCATTATTAGAAGAAAAATTCTTCATAGCTAACATCAGTTTTCCTCTCTTGTTAAATCAGCTTGTTTGCTCCTGACATCATCTGACTGCCATCCTCTCAAACTGCTTCTCACTGTAGCACTTTACACTTGTCTTCACTGGAAGGGAGCCTGCCTTCCCATTACTTGGGTGATAATTCTGTTTATAGACAGAAAGTTCTGCCAAATCATGGCTCTTTCCTTCTCCTCAGCTGCTCTGGGCACGATATTGTTTGTCACCTTCTTCTAGAACATAAGAGCTTGCCTGCTGGAATCACACTGGGTACTGCTCACTAGATCCAGACTGTCCTACTGCAAGGACTCAGGGCTTTTGTGAGCACACACTCCCCCCCTACCCTGTCTGTGGCACACAGCTCCACAGCCTGGAAAATTAAAACATTTAGTCTAATTCAAACCTTTTAACTTGATGAAAATATCTCTGCGTGACACTTAATGTGCAGGAGGTCAAGCCAAGTGATCTTCCGGCTTTTCAGACCCCAGTCCTTATGCTGTTGGAATCTCAGTCCAAGTTCAATAAATGCCTTGCATCTATGAGCCTGAAAACAGTATTGTATGCTCGGGGAAAAAAAATTACTTCTTCAAATAATGGGAAGAAACTGAAAACTGTTCTAATTTGCAGCAGCTATGGTAAGCTAAAGGTGTGCATTACCAGCCCCACATGTGAAGCTGTGCTTCATGCTGTGCAGTCACCAGATGCATTGGGTTAAGAGCACTCTAATGCTGGGGAAGAGTTTTGTACCACCTTCAGCAAACAGCCACGTTTGGGGGATACGTACCCAAGTCACTCTTTCTCGCTATGACAGTATCACAGTGAGGACAGTGGAATTTGGCCACATTCTCCGTGTGCTTCTGCAAAATGTGCATCTTCATGGTACCGCTCTGAGTGAAGCGAGCGTGGCAGATGTAGCATTCATATGGCTTCTCTCCTTCAGGAGCAAGAGGAAAAAATAGCACAAGTACTTTTGTTAAAAAGAAATCTTACCAAGAAGCCCCAAACGACCTCCCAGAAACTTGCACCAGGCATCTAGACAACAGTAACTCTACAAAGAGCTCAATTTCTCTTTCTCTACAAGTTTTAGCTCCAATAAGCATCTTTCTACAAGGAAACTCGAGTTCAATCTTTTAGCAAGTTACATTATTCTTACTCTGAGAAATTCAGGCAAGACTAACATGCATGAGAAGCTTTTAAAATTACACTAAAGCATAAAACTGTAAATGGCTCTAATCTTTAACTGGAAGTGGAACACTGAAAACAGAAGAAGTTTCATATTACAAGTGCCTGTATTTTATCACCTCACAGTCAAACTGGAAATCAGAATCCTCCAAGCTCATTTCTCAGTGCAGTAATTCTATTAGGTTATGGATTTACTAGTGCTTATCAATCACAGTGCATTCTCTTCAGCTAGAGACTTCATAAAGGTTTAAGACAAAACTACAAAACCCTATTTCTTTTGCTGTTTAAGTGTCAGCACACACTGTACACAGCCTCAGCACTCTGACACTAAGGAAACATGGCATCAGTACCGGAGTGGGTCCTCATGTGCCTCTTCAGTTTGTAGGTGTCCCTGCTGGCATAGCTGCACAAGCTGCACTGGAACGGGCGCTCTCCAGTGTGAGAACGAATGTGGCGTTTCAATTTGCTAACCTGGAAGTCAAGAGCAAGACTGAAAGTCAGCACAGATGAGCAGCTCAGACTGCCAAAGGTACGAGGAATCAGTGAAGAGTTTAAGGTCGTCTATTTTTATTTTGTTACAAATCCAAACAAGCATGTTTCAATGCCATTCTCACACTGTGCACAGCCACTAACTCCTGTTCACTTCACCTCCCAACCTCACTCCCAGCCTTGCCTGATGCTTGTTCCCACACTCACTGCAGCCTGATTTAGACTCCTGTGCTCAACTTACTGTTATCGACCATCTCAGCAGCTGAAGACACCCTAAAATTTCAAAGTATCCTGGAGATCCTCTCCTGCTTTTATTGAGAAGGTACAAACCCGGCTCAAAGGTCAGCAAGAACACCAATGGTACTGCATGTTCTACTCCAGCCTGACCACGCTGCTTAATCACCCACCTTTGCCTACAAAAAGCAGCATGACCTCATGTAAGGACCAACTTGGTTGTTTTTTCCTAATTCATACTATGAAACCCCCTGCAACACAATTTATTCAGCACTCAAACCCACAGGGCCTGGAATTACAGCACTGCAGGCACCGTGTGGGTAGGGGAAAAAAAAAAAAAAAAAAAAAAAAAAATCGAAGCCCCTGCTCAAGCTCTCCCAACTGTAACCTTCTTCCACTGCAGAAATTCCAGCTGCTCATCATCTAGCTCCAATTTCCTATCACAATATAAAAGCTGTTCTGTAAAATAGGTAATACTGCATGGAAGGGAAGCATTCAAGGAAGCTTAATGTGCCTGAGCAAATTAGACAATCACTCAATATTAGCAAAGCTGCTCTTCACCAATATTGAGGCAAAGGCTCATTAATTTTAGCTACAGACACCTTCATGGCATAAACAGATAATTTGGAGAATGCATGTTTCTAAACTGGGAGGGCAACTCTGATCGGAAATGACACCCCGCTGCAGGAGGAAACGTCTGTCTCCTTCAACATGGAGCATGCTACAATTCCTGCAATCACATTAAAGGCCAAATAATTTAAGAAACAATGACAACTATTGTCTATAAAGAGGAAATGGGTATCACCTAGGATTTCTGTGCGTAAGTGATCTCAAACTCCTTTCTGATTCACTGAGGAAACCCCACCATTTGCTTCGAAGAGCAGCTCTGATTTATAACATCTTTTGCTCAGAGCCTTTTAACCAAATGGCCAAAGAGGAAGGAAATGCCTGAGAACAGAGTTTATAACAGATGGTGAACAATCTTTGAAGTGCACAAGGAAGCACTCAGCACTGTAACAAGTAACTAACATACCTCCACACTGGCATAATCACACATGGAACACTTGAAGGGTTTCTCGTGGGTATGTTTGTAGCGGCGATGCCGAACCAACTCTCCACTGGTCACAAAGGCCATGTCGCAGTCTGGGCACTTGTGAGGGCGAGTACCTAATGGTGTGCAGCAAAACAGGGAGGCAGTGACATGCAGATTTAGTGACAAAAGAAAATATGGGACGGTTTTGGTTGGGTTTGTTTTTGTTTTTCAAGTGAATTAGCAACACTGCTTTCGTGTTCTGAAAGATTAGATTAGAGTAGCAAATAATTTACACAAAAGTCAGAGGGTTTGTATAAATAACAAATGGATTGAAGATCTCGGAGAACTAACATGCTTTCAGTGAGGAAACAGACTCTTTTTTGTATCACTTGGTTATTTACAAATTTGAAACCACAAAATCAGACATAGTGTAAGTACACAGAGAAAATGAGGGATATGTGGGGGTTTTTTGGCAGAAAGGCACAGGCTTAAGTATATTCACAGTTCAATTACCTGTAGTTTCATACCAGAAACTCTGGTAAAGAACAAGACAAATGTGTTACAATTTCTAGCTATAAATTTCATTCATCCAGTTTATAATTTATTCCTTGGGGTTAGGTATTTTTAGTTATTTTTAATTCCCTCATGTTTAACTCCAGCCTCATTTTCATTGTACTTTTCTCCACGCAGCAGAGACAATACATATCTGAGAACACAAGTACTACTGCTCAAGGCAAAGAGAACATTTCTGTAACTTCAGGTAATTTTAGATCAAGCCCAGGACCAGTTTTATACCCGTGAACAGGACAAGCTCTGCAGCTGACCTGGCCAGGCAAAAAACAACTGCATGGTCTCCTCCTTTTTAAGCTTGTTCCGGAAGAGGAATTAGAAAAAACAGCAGAGACCTTCTTAAACCTATTTGTTCTAATGACAGAGCAGGTCCTACAAAAACAATGTGTGCAAAACCAAGAGTACCTGTGTGAGTGTTGAGGTGGTTCCTCAGCAACGTGACTGTCCGGAAAGCCCTGCCACAGAGATGGCACTTGTGTGGTCTTTCATCGGTGTGGCTTTTCATGTGGCGGTCCAGGTTGGAACGACGCGGACAAGTGTAACTGCACAGTTCACACTGGAATGTCTTCTTTACACCTAGTCAGGAAAGAAACCACCTTTAGCCTTTGACAGCACTGTGCTCTACTGTGTAACATCAGAGATCAGCAGGGAAAAGAAAAGATTCTTGGAGGTTTAACTACTGCAAGGAGCCACCATGCAGCACTAAATCCAACTGCATTGCCTGGGGCTGATTTGGCTTCGATTTTCATTAGTATGCCAGCACTCAGTGTTCCTTCTCCACTCTAAAAAGGGTTCCTCAACTTACATTTTTAACAAAAAAAACCCAACCAAACAAAAAAAAACCCCAAAAAACAACAACAAAAAAAATCAAACATATCTATTACTGTATTTTGCATCATCTACCTTACCCAGCAATTGGTTAGAAAAAGCCCCACAGAACTAATTATAGCATTGGTTCCTGGTGTAAACCACATGAACACAAACTGTTACATGTGTATTACAGCAAAGAGAACAATCTTTTCAATCATAGCTATATGGGAATATTAATGCCACAGCATTATACTTGAGGAAAATGAGCTCCCTCAGCCTAAATGGAAGAGACGGGAGGTTTGCCCAAGAAACACTGGAGTCGAGCTCTATTATATAAAGAGCAAGAACCACTGGGCATGTCTCCTTTCCTCCCAACTTGCCTCTATTCAGTCATATCACATTGCAAGGTCCCACCAGAACACATGCATTTTCAAAATCCACTTGCAGACGGGGGGCTTACCTTTCTTTTTAATTTTTGTTGGTTTAGGTGGCTTCATATTGCCCACCACCTTTTCTGCATTAACCTCGGACAACAAACCCTCCTGCTGCTCCTCTTCAAAGTCATACACAGACACATCCACATCTTTGCCTTCCTCAGTGTAGCGAAGCTTACTTTTTTTGTTTTTCTTTGTTTTTTTGGCTGGTGGCTGATAGTCTGGATCTTTTTGCCAATTGGGATCTTCCTGTGGCTGAAGATCACCTTGTTCCAGTGTCTCCACCTCACCATTTGCACCCACTTTCACTACTTGGAAGCCTTCTGGTAAAGGGAGGGTGTGACAGATCATGGGCTCCCCCTCTTGCAGGCCTGCTTTGGAAACCTCATTTTCATAAGCTCCCTGCAGTTCTTCCACAGACGTGGTGGCAACAGGTACAGTCACTGGTACAGGTACTTGGACCAGCTGAAGCTCACCAAGGTTTATAGGCTGCTCTTCCATATTAACAACCTGAAGTGTTATGATCTGCGTGTCATCCACTGTAGCCTCAGTTTCTTGAGGCACTGCACCTTCCATTACTTCAGTCTTCATTTGAAGAAGAGTTGGATCCAGCTGATCCATCATCACCATCTGCACCCCACTGCTGACGTCCTGCACTACTTCACCTCCATCTGCTTGGTTTGGCGGTAGATGACAAGCATCATCCTCTTGCCCGCCTTCACGGCGTCTTTGATAGGTTTTCCTCTCTTTTCCCTTAATGAAAGTTTCTGATTCCTCCACAATAGCTTCGACTGCCTCACCTTCCATTTCACCTTCCTGCTGTAAAAACAAGAGAATGAATGCCACACACCATCTGATGTACTTAACAACTGCACAAACCCCACAGAAGAATAAGTCGCCCAACTGGAAACACCCAATTTAACAGCAGCCACGAATCAGAGAACAGGAGCTGAGAGCTGTAGGTCTCCATGAGCCCATCACCACTGCAAACCAAGGCAATCACAGAATGCTGCCTGCAGGGAGACAACTGTATCAGCTTCTTGGAAAGGAAGGAAAGAAAGGAAGAGAGATAAAGCGATAAGCATGTTCCCATTTCTCAAAGACCACAAATCCCACCAGCAAGATGAACAGCATTATTATTCCTCATTGAGCTTGTTTAATCACTTCTCACAGCTCAGCAGGACCAGAGGCAGTCTTTGGCTATAAATTTTAAAGGTACAAAAATACTGTACTGTTCAAAAGCAAAAAGCCAAGCTTAAAGAAAGTATTTCCTACTCCCACCTCTGGCGCTGCCAGGCCCTGAGCAGAGCAGAGGACGATGCACTGTGCCCTCCCTCTTCAGCTGAATGAGCCACAGCAGGAGACAGGCTCAGGTAAAACCTTATTTCAACATAAATGATGTGGAGTCAGAACTGGTGGATTCTGATGATGCCTGGGTTAAATCCACCTGTACAGTCATAAACAAACAACAACACTGAAGCTCAGCATTTTGGTGGGCCTTAACTTTAACTCTGAAAATAGCTGCACACAAGCATAACACTGAGATTTTCTTCCTCCTCAGACCATCCAGTGTTCTTCTCTGCAGTCAGGGAACAATATGAAATTCCTGTATTTTCATTCTGCAGGAAGGTTCCTTCAAGAGTAGTAAGAGCCAGAAGAAATTATCATTTTGCAGCTGTCTTCTTCCCCAAATGAAAAGAGTAAGATCACAGTAAAGAAGTATTTCCCAAGTCTACCTCTGTTTCAGGTGGTTTATTTTGTAGAAATGAAAGCAGGTTCCATGCCAAACATATTCCCTGCATCAGGATATCATTTCTTATATCCCTTGCATAAGTGTTAAAAAGGTACCAAGATCAACTGTACTGCTGAAGCAAGTAATAAAAGAGCCAGTTTCCTTACTAAGCCTGTGATTAAGTCCTGATTCCAGTTCCAGATTTGATAAGAGACTTCTGTATTTTCCCATTAGATTGACTGGCCTCTCGGACCAGCTAACTGAATTTAATTACCATAAATATTTAATCTCCCTTGTTACCTCAACACTTTAAAAATCACCAAACTATTTTCAAATATCTACATTTAATCTTGCATACTGAATTTTGAAATACAAAAGCTTATAGACATAAATACGAAACACAGCTGTCAGTCTGCTTTAAGAATTACAAGACATGTAATTGCTATTATTTTTAGAGAGTTCTTGCTTTTAGTCTACTGTCTTTCCTAGCATCCTCCACCTCTGCTGTGAGAACAATAAAGCTCATATTGTTCCTCAGCCTGCTCGGACTGGGGACATCTATTAATGTGCTGTCTTGATATTTGTTATGTCGTGGGCAGGCACAGTCTCCAGAGGGCACCAGATACCCAGGAATACCAACATATGGTATGTGAGCACTCCCTGCAGGGATCCGGCCTCGCCTTTCCTTTACCACCCATCAGCTTCTCAAGTTGGAGCAAATCCATATGGAGAAACAGCTGAAGTACATGAGATGATGTAAGTACTTAACACTAGACAGCAGGCAATCAGAACAGAGCTGGTCTTTGGCCTACAGCAACTGTGAAACTGTTTTACAATTACCTTAAGCATTTGCAGAGAGAGAGAGACAGAAGAGAAGCCTTTTGAGGTGACCAAAAATCTCTGAACAAGAAAAGGAAGCACACAGCTAAACAAAATAAATGGTCACGGTGGGTAACAACGAAATATTTAAGATGAAGGGACAAAATGGCAAATGCCCATCTGCAAAGCTAATGCAATTTTGGTGCCTTGCAGAGGAACAGAGGAGAGATCTGCAACCTTGACACAAGCACAGGCAGCTCTGAGAAGAGGTGAGGCTCTCATAAGGACCTTCACATTCACTGCCAATATCAGAGTTGGTAACAAGGCTGCTAAGTCACCCAAAAGCAAGCCAGAATTGGCCAGTATCCTCTATGATCCTACAGAAGCATGATTTCCTGTGGAGTTGTAGGAAGGCATCATTTCAGACTTGTAAAGCAGAAAATCCTAAGTCCACCGAGAAACAGGTCACTCACTCACACACCTGAGCACTTTGACACATGGCTCATGCTGTCAGGAAAAGTCTGCCAGCCTAGGAATGCAGAGGTACAGGGAGGACAAGGAAAAGTGGGCAGGCACAACTCGTGTTAAAGATGCTCACAGTGAGGTGTGTACGGGTGTGAAATGAACGGATGGATTCTCACAACCGTCCAGTAAAGAAACTCAGACCCCGCTATCCCTCCCTCTCCCATCTCTCACCCCCGTTCCCTGTCACTCATCGGGGCGGGGGTTGCACAGTGGGGCACGGCTGCCCCGCCGTGGCGAGACACGGCACTGCACCGGGACCGGGCCTGCCACCTCCGCTGTCACCTCCCTGTCCCTCCGCCACTGCATCCCGACCCTGCCACCTCCCTGTGCCTGCCCTCCACTGCATCCCGACCCTGCCACCTCCTTGCCCCTGCCCTCCACTGCATCCCGACCCTGCCACCTCCCTGCCCCTGCCCTCCACTGCATCCCGACCCTGCCACCTCCCTGTCCCTCCGTCACTGCATCCCGACCCTGCCACCTCCCTGCCCCTGCCCTCCACTGCATCCTGACCCTGCCACCTCCCTGTGCCTGTCCTCCACTGCATCCTGACCTCCTCACCTCCAGTGTTCCAGTCTATCACTGCATCCTGACCCAGATCCCCTGGACTCCAACACTCAGCACACATACGAGCAGGTTCCTCTCAGTGAAAAGTAAAGGCATCTGAAAATGCCTAGTTTGAAATCAAACTCTTGCCACAGGGAAAATGTTACTATAACCTTTAGAATATTGTAACAAACAACATACAAAAATACACAAATATACAGGAGGAGTCTCATTTGATGTCTTGGCCAGCTCAAAAATCTTGCCACACTGCCAAGATTTCTTCTGAAGAAAGCATGGATTTACAAATTTCCAGTTTCTCCAACCAGGGGGCACCCAGGATGGACCCTAACTTAAGAGGGGAAAATGTACTGACTCCTTCCTATTAAATAAGTTCTTTGGAAAGACTCCATCTCAGCTTTGCACTGCCTGTCCATGTCACTTCTCAATTACTCTGTCTTGAACTATTTGCTACCTTTTTACTTACCTTTTTTTTTTTTTTTTTTAAACTTAATCCACCTTTTTCACAAAGTAAGTTTTACAGGCAAGTTTTATATTTATTGGAGGATGTGTCATTTGCTAGAGCTAAGACCACTACAGCAGAAGACTAGGAATAAAAACTGCTGAGTTTTGCATACACTTAACCCAACTTTTTATTTCTGGCTTTTGTCACCAGCTCTCTTCCTACCAGTTACTGCCACCTTACATCAACAGCTCAGTTCCACAATGACTGAATCGAAAAAGGAAAACAAAGCACCAGGTTAACAGGTGATGCAGTAAATCAAGACTGAAAAAAAAAAGTGAAAAAGAAGAGCTTCCACAATAAGGAGAGCAACCAAAGAACATCTGAAACGAACACAATTCCCACATAACAGCTCAAGCCAGTCTTTACAAACACACTCACTCAACGGGCTCTACCGAGAGACACCACACCACTGAACAGCTCAGGGCACTGTCACAATCCAATTAACCAGGTAAAAAGCTGTGACGTCCCAACAACAGACCTAAGCTTCTTCAGAGAACCCATGGGCAGCTCATCTGAAACAAGCAGAAAGCAGAAGGGCTGTGCATTTGACACAACCGACACTTCGTTCCAACGAAAAGGAATCAAAAGGTTGCTTGAGGTAAAATAATTTAGTGCCAACTGTCCTATAACTGCAGCACAGGAGTCCCAGCCCAGCTACACTCACAGCAAAGAATTTCTTCTTAACATACAATCTAACCCTGCCCTGTGCCAGCAGGAAGTCGTTCTCCCTTGTCCTGCCACTCCATGCCCTTGTCCAAAGTCCCTCTCCAGCTCTCTTGGAGCTCCTTTAGGTACTGGAAGGGAATTGTAGAAGCATTAAAAAAACCCTTGCTGTAGGTGTCAATGCAGAGAGTACAAACCCAGAGACAGGGATGGTTAGTGCCACTGCCTGTTTATCTAGCTGTGTTGTTTATAATAAAGCTACTACCAAAGAGGCTTTGCCTCTCACCCAATGTTAGAATTAACAAATCCTGAACTGCATCAAGTTTCATGTACCAAATGACAGAAAAATAAATATTTTTGCCAAACAAGGCACAGTGTCAATAAAAACTGCTGGGACACTACAGCAATTGAAAAGTAGATTTAGTGCTGTAATATACTCTTCACTTGAGGGAAAAAAAGCAACAAATGCCAACAGAAACAATAAAGTCAAATGCTGTCAATAATTTTTTGGCATTCATAAAACATTGAAAAATATCTTTGCATTATTGCAAACAAAAAACCCTATTACCTTTCAACGTATTCAGACCTTGAATTCTAGTCAATCCACACACAGTACCACTTAAAAACTGACATGGCTTTGACACTTATGGATTAGGTACTTATTACAAATGTTATGGGAGTGGAAATAAAGCCTTAAGTTAAAACATGGGAGATTTATTTTGCTCCTGCATACCCTGTGAACCTTTGAAAGCTGAATAGAGGAATAAGCAAAAACTTCAACTCTGAGTCTGCGGTTGTGCAGCGTGTCTGCCATTTAAAGCAAGATTAAAAAAAAAATAAAATATATTCAACAGGGTTTACAGACAATGGACATTTTTTTCCTTTTTTTTTCCCTGCTTGCAGTTCACACGCGTCTGTGTAAGTATTTAAGGGCATTAGCAGATGCAGCATAACCACAGGAGTGCTTGGCCATTCTCCTTCCCATCATGAAACAGCCCTATCTTTTCCCTGAAAAGGCTCCCAGCCAAGCACAGCCAAAGATAAGGCAGTTTAACAAGTAGGCCATTTCCTCCAGCAGAGCTTGCCTGATAACACATGAACATGGCACGAATGTAACTTATTCTAAAGCGGACATGATATACATAAAACACAAAGCATTAAGTATTGCCTTTCCTAGAGATGTTCTTTCTTACTATTCACCACAACTGCTCCTGATCTCCTCAGCATATCAGTGGTACCCCTAGACAGGCAACAAATCCAGAATACAGAGTAGGTGTATGTGCAACTGCTTCTCACAGCTCCCCCCCGGGTTTAAAAGGACACCAATTCTTGTTCTCCACACAGTGTGGCACTAGAAGCAAAAAATCCTGACACAGTTTGGAAAGAGGCAGGAAGATGCTTGAAGAGCTCTGTGCAGGGCCAGGCACCCCAGGCAGAGTTTGGTAGCTTGGTCTCAGCACCCCACAAAGAGCTGTAAAGCTTCTGAACTCGAGGTGTTTCTAGGAGTAGTTCAGCAGTTCTACACTCAAGACAAGAGGTACAGTTGGATCCAAACAGACCAACTGTGCATATCACACACAAAACATCAAAGATTTACTACCAACAGGGGAAACCAAAAAGCTGGGATGAGTTTCTTCTACTAAGTAATTTGCTCACACTAAAAACTTAAAGCTTTCATTTGCCTACTGCATTCGATTTCATATCCACTAGTTATGACTGCCACGCCCAGCTCCAGCTGTTTTCTCATTTCCTCCTTGCCACTTACAACACTGGCACTGAAAACAAACAAAAAAAGTCAAATGTACTACTTCAAACATTTATTACAGTTTTAAATTAAAAAGGGTAGTCTCATTAATCTACTATTAAGCAATTACTCTGAAAAATATTTCAGCATCTCGGAGGGAGTAAGGAGAAGGACAAGCAAGAAACCCAGGAGAAGAGTGAACTTCACCACCAGTTAATAAATGCTTGTGCTTTTTCTGTGTAAGAAAAGGGGCCTGTCAAGGGAAAGAAGCCCCAAGAAACACATAAAACAGCTACACAAATGACAGCTGCAATTGCCAATGCAGAGTTGCAGAAGGAAGGTTTCCTTAAGTACTGACCCTGCAAAGGGAGAAGACAGCCAGCTTTGGCAGTGCAGGTGGAGATTACCTAACCAAAGTGTCTGTGCTGGCAGGTTGGTCTCTCTAAATAGGGCAATGAGAACAGCACAGTCTTCCACAGAGTGATTCAAAGCTTTTAAGTGGATCCCTACAAAAAACAGTAAATAGTCTTGTTCTTAGGCCTTGTTCATTCTTCCTTAATTTCTCCTTCCGTTCCTATCTAATATTCTTTTAAATTTCAGCTTTCATTTTTCACTCTTTCTTGCAATAACTGCTAGGCCTTCAGTCATTCTGAGAATCCTTTACTGAAAGTTGGGAAATGTGAATGAAATATTTTTATATCAATCTTTAAAAAAAAAAAAAGTTTCCCTTTTTAATATATTAAGGAAAGTATCACGTTTTGCTAACACCGTGACAGCTCTTTTCAGAAGGACAAACATGCAATTTAATCAGGTGTAAAATACAGAAAGATTTACACTTTAAAAGTAGCAGTCACAGAGGAATTCCCTTTTAGCTGATGTTAGATCATAAAAGTAATCACTCCTTCCCTTCTACAGCTCTTCATAACATAAAAGTGATAAAGGAGCTCATGAAAGACCACCAGAACACTTGAAGGTATTAAATTGAGAACAGAAAATTACTTCAGGTTAGAAGAGCCTGTAAAATCCCTTGCCACAAAAAGTCTAATACTGTAGGTAGATACTGGAAAATATTATTAGTTTTGTCAACAAGTATTTGTGGCCACTTCTGCCATCACACACTAAGTTAGGCTTTCATTTAGGCTATTAGCAAACTGCTCACAGCAAAACAGTTGCTTCTTCAAAATCAGTGTGAGCAGAGCAGGATTCTTTGGCCATCTGATACAGCCTTGCATGATATCAAAGTGGCAGCACCAGCCACTCCCACACCTGAAAAAAGACCAGTGCAACAAGTTTCATGGCATTCTGGAGACTTCATAATAAGCATTTGGATTTTGTTTTCCTCTAAGGCTTCGTCTGGATTAACAAGTATCCAAGACTAAACTTTTGGGGGACAGCTATTTCTTTTATCTTTGCACAAGTATCCATTAAGTAGTGATACTCTGCCTGGACAAGTGAATTCAGGCTTCAAATTGGAGGAGCAGGAAGTCTTTATCCCTGGAATGGTAACGTGGGTCCTATGCTACGAACAACAGCTGCCCATGCAGTGACTATTAGTCACCTCACAAATCACACCCTGATGCACACAAGGAAACCTGAAGTCAGTGCTAGTTAATTTAATGTCAGGCTGTCAAACACAGAGGTGCAGTTTACTGCTGTTGCAGCAGGGACAGGAAATTCCAGGAGTTTTGAAAGCACCTGTGGCAGAAGGGTGGTGGACAAGACAAACTCCCAGAGACTAAATTAAAACATCCTTGCTTTTGAGTCACAGATCACAGAAGAGTTAATCTGAATTCATAAGCGCTGGATGAGACAAAGAGAATCAAACCCAGGTGAACCCTTTAGTGACCCTCATGCTGAAATTCTAAGTAGTTTCATTTATCTTATACACACAGGTATATTCATATATACTCATATTCCAAATATCCTCATACACTCAGCCCTAAAAGTGCCATTACAATCAACTTTCAAAGCAGATGAAGAAAAAAAACAACCCAGTACCCCACAAAGGCACTCGACCTTGGAGGGACCTTTGTAGTAGGAAGGAGTAAGGCCTCATTTTCAGACACACTTTCAGAGAAGCCATCCCTGCCTTTAAACTGCCCATTCATTCCCTCCCATCACCCAACTATTCCTCATGTCAGCACAAGCACTTTTAAGACTGCAGCCACTGGTCAGGAAACTAATCCAGGCCAGAACTCACCCAGCCAAAAAGATACTTATTTCCATCCAGACCAGGTCTCTGCTGCGCCCAAACACTCAGGCCAGCCAAAAGAGAAGCATGACAAGAGGGTTTCTTCCAGCACACTGTTAAGCTTTACGTTCAGGAAACTACTGCCTCAGCATGGAACACATACCACACTTTAAAACCCCTTAATTTACATTTATGTTCTTGTTGCTTCTGCACTTCTGCCTGGACTGATTTGTTCTCTTCATGCTGGCTATTCTTCATGCAGCTCTTGAGGTCAGAACACCCTCTGGAACAGAACAGATGAGTCGTACCAGTGAAACTACATAAAAGAGAAAGGGAAGAAGGGAAGGGGGGTAGTAAAAGGACTGTTTGAATGTTTAATGCTTGTTTAACAGCAAATGTGTAGCCCCACACCTCTAATAGCAGCAGCATTGATAACTGCTTGAGGACCCCTTCACTTACCAAAAAAAAAAAAAAAGCCATAAATAAAACCAAAAGAGCATCTTAGTCAGCTTTATTACTTTTCACCAGCGTGACTGAACTCATTTTACAAGCTCCTCTCTATACCTGTCCTCAAACTCTGAATTCAGCATTTACAGTTCTTACAACCTAAAGCTCTGGATGCCTCACATCAGATTAAGAGTGTAATATGACATTTTAGAGCTGACTGTGCCTACTTCAGATGGCCTTTTTCTCCTGTGCTGTGGAATAGCAAATCACACACCAAAGGAGCTTTTATTGTTAAAGAGGTGTAAATTAGAGCAAATATAACTCCTTACATACTGTCAATGCAGCAAGAAACCCTATCAATAGACAAAATCAGCTTTAACAATTCTAACCTTGCTACCCTGAGGAAGAGCAGCCTCTGCTCACTGAAGCGAACTTCATTACCAATTAAGAGCTTCAAATACTCACATTCACAGAACTACAATATTTATAAGACAGCACATTATTTCTCATCCTGTAATCCTCAGTATGCACACATGCTAAAAACCCTGGAATGATAAGAGAGTCCACAAGAGTAATTGTTAAGTGGGGCACATCTTCTTGCTGCACGCAGTGATGTGATCGAAGCAGTGCTGGATTTCATGCCAGTCCTACACTTTTTGAATTTAAGTACTTCCCTCCCCAGGTTCTTCTGTCATTTATTTAGTACAAGGCACTCAAGTCTGGGTCCTGGCTGAATTTTTTACTTGGCAAGTCTATTTTTAATTGTTTATCAGCTTCAAAGAGCACGACTGATAAGAGGTTTGTTGGACCTGTGGGTGCTCAGTGATAGCGAGCTTTTAAAAAACATTTGGAATGGATCTATTTTTATTTAACACTTACTCTGTAAAAATCACAAATGCTACACACAACCCCTGACCAGGAAAGGGGATGCTCAGGGAATACACAGGGTGTGCTCCACTGCCAAGGGCATGTTAAGACTGCTGATGCAAGCTGCATCCTTGCCAGGTTCTGTGCTGTGCAACCCTGGAGAAGACTACCATTTCCTCAAATTTACAAACCTGTCAATTAACACAGAAAAACCTTAAGGGTGAAGGACCTCTGCATTCAGAAGACATTTGATACAAAATGAACACCTCCCGTGTGGAATTCTATCATCTCAGAAGTTTTGTCACACACCAGCATAACAGAGCACAGTGAATTGAATGGAAGCATCTTTTAATCTACTGCTATTCTTTTACCCTAACTTTGGTTTTCCTGAAATTTTGAATCAAGAAATAGTTTCTTCTATTTTTCAAGCCTAGTGTTCTGCTTGACTAAACAGTGGAGAGATCTGTTCTGAATAAGATTGTACCCAAACTCTTAGTAGGGGGAAAGAGAAATAAACCAATAATTGCAGATCTTTCTTTCCTACACTAAACACAAATTCAGAACAGTTCACAGAGATGCTGTGGGAATGAAAATATTTACTAAATATAACCCTAAACAACCTCATCTAACATCAATGCTGCCCCTGCACTGAGCCAGGGGTTGAACAAGGGTACCACAAGAACTCCCTTCCAACCCAAATTATTTTACCATTCTCTGGCACTATATAAAATGAAGGATACACTTAAACTTCAAACAACACAGTGAGGTTTTTTTCTATCTATGTACTTCTAACTATGATGCTCTTAGGACTGAGATTTACTGGTCTCAGCATTCACTTCCACACAAGTTCTAGAGGCCCTGGAACACCTCTGCAAGCTCTCAAACACCAGCCAGTTTTTAGCAAATGTGCAGAAGTACAGTAACTCCTAGCAATCTACCACTGACCTGCACTTTCAGAGTGGTGGATACCCAAAGCCACCCAGTATTTAAGAGTACAGCATTAGAAGAGCACAGGCAGAGTGTTTAGGAGACACAGAACCACATGTGCTATGAAGTACAGAGACTCACATCAGACAAAGCTCTTACAGGAACTTCAGATAGAAAAGGGGGAAGCAGCACTGACAAGGGACCTCCCTACTTGTTTTTAATTTGCAGTAGGAAACCCAAGACCACAATGAGTATATCTAAACTGAGAAAAAAGAAAAATCTGTCCTTGAAGAAGTAAGGGCTACTGTGTACTTTTTTTCTCCAGAATCTTAACAAGAAGTTGTATCTTGAGTGCCAGAAGGTGGCTGAAAAGTCTCCCTGAATGCCAGCACAGAACAGCCTGTTTGAAGAGGCAGCTCTGGGACATAACACTTCATACTGACCAACAAGTGCACTGGATCAAGCTCTTCTAACCAAGAAGAGCCAGACTGCTAACACAGCAGGACAAACATTGAGTGCTATCTCCCTTTTTTGAATCTGATGGAGCTGGAGAAAACATCCCTAAGGATTTTTTTGCACAAGCCACTCAAAGCGAATGTCTCCAAAAACATTACAGATGTCATGTCAGGCAAGTAAGACATCTAAATATTTGATAGTCTGTTCCATCATACCGTCATGGAAGCTGACAAATTCTTCTTCATGTAGGTCAAAACACTGGTAGAACAGGGAGAGGATGCAGCTGCTTCAACAGGACAGAACACTACAGGAGCAAAGCATAAAATACTCTGGGCTTATATAACGCTCCAAGTAGCTCAGAGTAGGCAGGAGTGAACAGCAGCCATCCTCAGCAGGAAGGAGAGAGCATTAATATGGAAGGTAGGCAAGGATCAAGTAATCAATGAGTACCTTTTGAGTATTCAGTATTGCCACAGGAAGCGATAAATCTCTCTTCAAAGATCAGAAGTGGCAGTAAGTGATATACTCAGCAGGAATGCTGGATAACACTAACTTCTTCCATCCTCCAAAAAGAAAAGAAAAGAAGAAAGGTTTTAATAATCTGATAAGCTTTGACTGAAACTACTAGCCTTCTTTTTTCCAACCTGTAATCTGGGAACTCCTGAAGTGCCTCTAAGGGGAAAGCAAAACTGCAGTTTAGATTGCACCTCCAGTGCAAACAGTTTAGTACACAGGAGAAGGTTACTGTTGAAAATGTAATAGTGTTAACTTATGTCATAGAATCATACAGCCAAAAACAAGAGGGCATTTTCAATTCAGTAGCATTTCCTGCTTTCATTTTAAATCTTTGGATGTTAGAAGCGTTTTCAATGGAAGAGCTTTGCAAATCGAACACGAGGAGACAGAAAAACTATACAAGAAGCTGAAGCAATTGGCCAAAAATCACCACTGCTTCTACTGCAGTGAAAGGCTCTTCCAGGAGCCAGTCCAGAGCCACGATGTCTCTTTCAACGTTAAACAATGGGAGAATTCAATTCCCTGGACAGCGATTTTAAACATACAGCAAAGTTTACTGCTCCGTTTCAAAAGAGTAAAAAATGTTTGCAAATATCCAAATGCCGCCATCACTACTTGTGGTCTCAGCCTCCTTTGCAGAAAGCCTTTACTTACCCCCAAAATATTTTGGGGCATGGTTCCACAAAGGCTCAAATCGAACTTAGAGCTGCATTTTTTCCACATCCACTTACATCTGGTTGCCCCCACGAAGCAAATTCAGCTGACCAGTTCATCGCCTGGCGACTCAACTGCCAGCACACACGTGGAAGGAGATGGGGTCACAATAATCCTGATGCAAGCCAACTTAATTTTCCAGGAAAGCCACGACTTTCACCTCCCTAAATGCTTTGGTGTTATTCACAACATGGTATAACCTGTAAATTCACTTGCATAGCTTTTATTGGTAGGCTGAGAAAAAAGGAAGAAAATTCCCTTTGTCCAACATGAACATAAAAAAGCTCGTCAAGGACAGATCAGTGTCCCTTTAGTCCAGCAGTCTGACTCCAAAAGCTCAAGCAGGAAGTGCTGTGTAGGGAGAGCAATCAGTAATGTCTGTGGTTTACCACCCTTATTCCAACACCCAGCCATGGGATTAGGGATCTTTGCCTCTGGACCTGCTGATCCCTTGCTGAACCTACAGTGTCTCCACAGTCTCTTACCACAATAGGTTTTCCATCAGTTGTGGTGTATTTACCCCATTTCTTCCTCCTACAAGCTACAGGTTCACCACAAAACTCACAGCATCTACCCAAGCAATTGGCCTTGTGTGAGCACTGGGAACCACAGAACAGCAACCCCAGACTGGGCACAGACAGAGTTCTGCCAAGAGCTCAAGTGGCAGCAGCAGAGCCACACCACTCACCTTTTTACAAACAGCCAGGAGAAACCAGAACTGCCAAACTCAAGCATTGGGTGCTTAAATTGAAACTACCACCCAGAGGAGCACATGGATTATATGCAAATTCTGTTGCTCAGAATTCTCAAGCTTACTTATCCCCTTCCTACCTTTTTAACATGGGTAACACATGAAAAATACTTTAGCTTCCAGCAATCTCCACCTAGACATGCTTAGTCCACCATCAGCCTATTTATTCACTGTAACATTCTAGAGAGCTTAGAAAGTGTCAAACACTTGTGTCAAGCCTCCACACATGATACATTACCATAACTCAAAATTATTGTGTTGTTTACTCCTTCTTCCACAGCTTTATGCTCCCTAATTTCATTCCTGATTAAGTCAGTATTTTACTCAGCATCCAATTTAAAACGAGGATCACTGCAGATAAAATAACTCCACACAATACATATAAATGCGATATATAAAGTATGAGTCAATAAATAACTTTATGGAATACAAGTTTATGGAGCTATATTTTCTTTAGTGCATTTCATAAAAATCACCTTGCTTCACCTTCTGAGCATTTTCCATGCTTTGAACTGGGAAGGAAGAACTCCTTGGGAGATGCAGGTTTGGGACTGGCTGGCTGGGCAGCAGTGCTACTGCCAAGGTTCTTTCCAGTAGCTGGATGTGAGCCAGCAGCAGGCCTGGGCAGCAGGGAAGTAACATTTACCCTTCCAACAGCTCCCCAGACATTATTAGACACATCTCCAGTATACATCAGTATCTGCTTACTTTCCCCTGCTCAGAAGATTTTACTGGTTTGATCATGCTCTGGATTGATAAGGAAAAGTCCTAAACCTATTTCTGCTCAAAGAGGGAAGCTGGTTCAAGAAGATGAGGTGCTACTCATCCTTTTTCTTTAGCAGCTGTCATTTGATCACCAAGCCTGACCACTTCTGAGTGACAATTCTGTGAAACAAAAAAGATTCAGCACCTTGCAGCAGGTTGAAGCAATTTTCAGATTTTTTTTTCCATGATCTTGATTCAAAGATGTTAAGAGATTAAGAAACACAGGACTGCTCTTCATATCATAATCCAACAGTTAATCACCTTCCCTGCGAAAAACATAAATCTTTTAATTTGAACTTATCAGGCTACAAATTCTTGTTGTGTTTGTCAGCAAGATTAAAACAAGCTGACTAATATCCAGTATTATCTTGTCAGGGACGTATCTGAGGACTCTTCTCAAGTCACCTCTTAGTTTTGCTGAGACCCTGCACAGCAAATTCTTAACATTTCACTGCATGGCACTACAGCTCAGTTTTCTGTCAAACTGGGGATGAATCCCCCTTGCAGACTAATTTTTTTTTTTTTTTGGTTAGTCGGTTGGGGGTTTTCTTGTGTGTGTGCTGAGGCCAGAATGATACACAGTATTTTGGGAATGACTTCATCCCACCCCACACAGGCAAGAACATATCCCTCCACTAATGCATTTTAGAACTACATTAGGTTCACTGTCACAGCATCACCTTGGAAACTCATGTTTGTGCTGTTTATCCAGTGTCTTGATTTAAATGCAGCTGGAATGCCTTATTCCCAGGTGCAGAGCTTCACATGCAGCAGCCTTAGGACACACATACCTGACTGGACCTACTTCACCTGACAGTCACAGTACCACAAGTTTATCGTGCAAAAGTTTTTAGAGACATTTTGCACCCACAAAAATCACTAAACAAATTGTGACAAGCAATTACTAGGTTTTGCTGAATATCCATGGAAACTGTTCACTCTTGTAAACCCCTGAATTCAGACTAATCCTGAACTAAATGGCATTTACTGATATTCAGTACTAATGTTAATATTCAGTAAGGTCCTCAACATCAAGTCCTTCAACAAAGTCAAGTAATAAATTTAACAAGTTCTTGTTTTCTTAAAGCTTTATTTACTAGGATTAATACTTTTCTCTCCTTGTTAACTGAACTCTGTACTAAAAAATAAATGGGAGAGCTGGTAATAATGTGAACTACATATGTATTAACACACAGAGAGCTACCCAAATACCCAAGGTAACGTGGGCACCTGCCAGCCCTCTGCACAGCACCATGTCACTACCTGCCATGTTCATCCACTCCATCTCCTTTTAGATCTGACATATCAGTGCTTCTCTAACCTCCTGGAATTTCCCTAATGTTCCAAAGTGCATTGACTAAAATATATTCCTTTCAATATTACAGCTAGGGATATTCCAGTGGTCAAAAAATATACTGGCCAAGGCAAAAGTCTCTCTCACCTCCCAGTGTATTCTGGTGGGGAGGGGGTTTAGATGGCTTTTGTGTTAAGTTTTGGTTCATGCTTGGTTTTTTGTTTGTTTTTTTTAAAAACAAACAAACACCACAGAGAAATTTCAGGAAAGCAATTTAATTCTAAATACCTGAAAGAGGGCACAAGGGTTACTCTGACATCCCAATTAAGGCAAATAAATTTCTTTATATAATAGGACCAAGCTATTCTCTCCTCTACTTTAAAGACAGCTACTTTACCTGATGATGTCTGAGAGACATACAGGCTTCTAATGATGATGCATATTAATACAGACAGATGTGTATGTCACACTCCAAACAATCTGTGATTTGCCTTCTGTTTTGCTGGAATTTGACAAATTCAATGATGTCAACAATTTTTTTTTTTACGTTACAGGGAGAAAAAAGGTAAAACAAAATTTTCAGTATAAGCTGAACTTATTTAACAGTGTCTTTACATTTGAGTGAAGCTTTTCAGTAAAACCTATAAAGCTTTAGAAATTTCCTAAGTTTGCAGCTATGGGAGAAAAATAAGATGGTGCTGATAGCTGACTGACACAACAATATGTATTTGGGCATACTACTTGTACTGCAGGGTGTAAAAAAAGCACCCTATAGCACAGCTTGCACTGCTACCATTCCAGCAGCAGCCCTGGCTGGTGTCACTGGTCAGCACATCCTAACTGGCCACTGCACTTGGGCTTGTAAATGCTTTCAAACATCCCTGGCCTCACCTCTCAGTATGAACCCCACACAGCACACTGAAATCCAGGCAGCTGACAGCAAACTGTGCGAGGGCTCCAGCTGAGGGGGGGGGTGTCTCTAAAACCAAACCTTTACATAAGAAATGCAACTCTAAGTATCTAATGGCTCAAAACTTCACCTGTGGGGATAGTCAGAGAATAATTCTTCGTGAGTCCATTCTATCACAGATGTCCCCTAAGCCAACGCACGTTATCTGCGCCATTCTCATGAGCTGCCTCTGCACTACTTCTGTTTTCACCTGTTAAGAACCACATTGAAAAGCGATTAGATTTTACAGTTTCCAAGTTTTTATAATACTGAGGAAAACTTCACTTTGGCTTTAATTTACATTAGACACCCAAACTGAGCTGTTCAGTCTACAGTTACCTGAATGTTACCACGACCTGAAACATAAAACTCCCTACATACCTTATGTTTATTCTACTCTTCTTTTCAAGGTTGTTCTTGTTAATCAGAAAAAACAGATCACTCAGCTGAGCGGCAACTATTTAGTTTTCATATTAAATATGTCTAGGATAAGTATATCTCAATTCCTATAGAATGATGGATTATTGGAGAGAAGTGGGAGGAGCTTCAGGACAGGGTGTTTTAAAGGAAATTCAAATATCCTTCAGCACAAAAAAAGCAACATCTTCAGTTACAGTCAGGAGAGGACAAAGATTCTTTCTAAGTTTCGGTAAAAAAACCTAAAAGAACAAGAGCCATGTATGTTCTGAACCATTTTTACGAACTCTAAATATAACAAATAAAAATGGAATTTCCTGGATCTGTGTGTGTCTCTAAGACCACGCAGTGCTACAGAGCAGCAGAGCCTGATACTGTATTGACATTTCAAGGTTTAGTACAACAAAGACTGAACTGGGCATCTGAACTAGAGCCAAATGGATGAACAGGGGTTTACAGTTAAGCAAACAAATCAGTACAGTTCAGTAAGTGAACACAAATAAAACAACCACCAGTCAAAGCTTTGGTTTCTTTCAGCTCCAGTCAGTGTCCTCATGTGTGCAGGAAAAGT